TTCATACAAACCCCCTCCCTACGACAGGTCGCATATTGCCCCTACGTCGCGGATTCTCCGAAATACGCTTGACCCCAGGGTGCTGCCCAAAAACGACTACACAACACCGCATCGATTATTACTGCGATCTTTGCCATTGCATAAAGCAGCAGTAAAGGCTTACTGCCTCTCACATCACGCGAAGAATTTCACATTTCTCCTTACCGTCGCTGTTTCTATTCGCAATCAGCAGTACTGTCAACATACCATCTGCATGTATTCTGAGAATAAAAAATAGAACAAATGTACAACGTTTGCTTTGCGACTCAAATCCTTGGCTTTTCCATGAAAAAAACTCGCTCCCTCTTAAGCAATGCGTCACAGCTCAAAAACAGCAGGTAAACGTTCTGCACCGGATACATCGCATTAGAATGGATGAACGCTTCCATGCAGGCCTGCAGACCCACCTAACAACCAATCCATTTCCCTACTTGGTTCGGTCACTTCAACTGCTAGATTCTTGCTTGAACTGAATCATTGTATTCAAAGTTTCTGTTGGGCTGCTGTGAACTATTACTCAGCGACATAGTCTATTTGAAGCTATGTTTATGTGACTGCTACAGCTGCATTTAACTAGGCGAAGTAGCATGATTTGCTTTTCCACTCTGCCATTTACAATGACATCGAAATTACTGCTTATCCTGTCACTGGTCGCATTGAGAAGCATCACGGGTAAAAGTATTAGGTTGGCCCATAAGTAATGGCGTTTTTTTGTCATACAAATTTTTATATGGAAAATGACAATTGTTCCCAATATGTTCTACACTGTTTGATAGATAATTTTCCGCACTATAAGATAGTGTAATTGCCTTCTTACTATTTCTCGACTTGTGTCGTTTTCTATTTCCTTGAAAGGGAAACTTGGGTCGCCCCAGAAAATCGACAACTACTTTTTGAATTTTATCTCGGCTCTCAATCTACAGAAGAAGCTCAAACCTTGTGGTATATATGACCAAAGAAAGATGCGTCTTATGACAGCTTGAAGTTGGTTCAAGCGATCAAGACTTAGGAAACTCGGACGCTGTAAATGTGCATTGCATGGAGGATCCCTTGAGGAGCGACTGCCTGCAGAACGTACTCCTCTCACTTTTGGGCGTCCAACATCAACTGAGAGTGGTGGTTGATAATGATAAGGAAGCGTTCTATGACCTCTAATGATCCCTCAATCTTTGGCATGATTCTCAGTTAATAAGGTAATTCCGTAAGCTCTCAGTTGGACAGAATAGGGCATTAGGTTCGATGCTTGTCTGTGAGGTCGAAACTGAAATCTTCGAATCACTCAAATTATTAATAAACATTCCTGAGAGACACAGCCTTTAAGCCATATACGTACATATTTGGCAGTTCAGCCCATGCGGTTTTAGCTTTTTAATTGGAGGTATGAAAGAGAGGTTGTCGAAAATGCTTCGGTTTTCACCGACCTGACGATCAAGTTTGAGCATCCATATATAATGGAGAGAGACAGACTGGAAGAAAAACTATAAAAACTAGTCGTTAGAGCAGGAGTTTCTGCGCAATGGTAGTAAAACTCGAAATGGCAAAACTTTTCTTCTTCGGCGCGATGTTTTGAGTAGGGAAAAAAACACCATTACTCATGGGCCGACCCACTACAAACAGCTCAATTCAAGATGCCAAGGAGACACATAAAAAGTCTTGGAATTTCATAGTACAGAGTGCACGCTCCTCGAGCGAATGTTAGAACCTGTTCGTTTGAACTATCGGTTTGGTCCTCGAACCCAAAAGTTCAAACAAGTTACGCAACAAATCAAGCAAAGCTTTTCATATGTCAGAAAAAACAGGACCGGAAATGACGTCCAGATGAGAAAATGCCAATGTCTACAGCTAGAAACATCAATTGCAAGCTGGCTCTCATTCATCAGCCACTATTCTTCTCGGCTAAACAAAGTTGTGTAGAGGTTGGAAGAAAAAATTCAAGAAAGTAGACCAAAGAGAACTAAACGGCTGCCTCTACTTTAATGTTTTTCTTGATTTACCTCTTAACGGGGCTAGCTTTTTGAGGCAAGTGCACCACCTTAATCGGTCAGCTACACCCTTATCCCTGGCACATGAGTAGCAGCGTGGGATACATGAGCATAGATGGTGACTCATGAAGATTATATTCAGTTTAAGACCAGCTGCCATCTTGATTTTGTTGCTTTTTTCAATATTTTCTACACTTACATTGCGTAGGCTGACAAAAGGGTCATTTTTTGGAGACTGTTCCAGGAACCACTGAGGTTTGTCCTGGACACAATCTGAAATTCATTGCACATGGACGGAGCCTTTAGGAGCCTTTGGCGAGCTTCAGGAGTTTTTTTCCTTTGAAGCCGTACTTAGTGCTAAAATATATGGACATTTAGAAACTTTGGTTTCAGATTCTGATAGGGCTCTATGACGGCTGAATATCAAGACATTCCCACGATTTGTTTCCGGACCCTGTCTTTTTTTAAACCGGTCTGACCCGAGCGCATATTCTTGACTAACCATCAATCATTTTAATCTTCTGCTCATCGATTCAGTTCGA